CACGTTCGAAAAGATGCGGTTATCGATAGCATACGTATCATTACTTTTAGGTTGGCGTGCCAACAGTGACATCAGCCCATTTTGTTGGTTCAACGTTGCTGTTAGTAGTGAATCGGAAAGTCTATATTTATAATTATAAAGATTCTTCCTGGAAGGTGCCTATTGGTATGTATATTTTGTGTTTTGTTTGAATTTGGCCAACATCAGAGGAGAGGTTATTAATTGGGGGAGTATGAATGATACTTCTACCTGGATGTCAACCCCAGGATGTCACCTCATCCTTTAAAATCCAAAAGAAAATTGGCCTGAGGCCCCATCCCAAAGAGTGGGAACCTCATGCAGTGTCGCTGGCGGGGACTGTGGTCACAGCCACAGAAACCTGCTTGCGCCCAGTGAAATTAACGAGAGGCAGCGACGGGACTTGGTGATCGTTTGCATGTTGGGGGAGCCTTGGGGAGAGCCAGGAATGACCGCTAGACATCTGGTGACCAAGCCGGGTGACGGGGACGTCCAATCCCACACGCTTCCCATTGGGGCCAGGGGACACTGGAGCAGGTGGACTTCATGAAGAGGGAGAAAGAGGAGAACCGAGGCCAGAGGCAGGGGGTGGGGTTCAGAGTGAAGACGGGGCAGATGTTAGCTCCAGAAAAGAAGAGGCTCTTCTCTTTCCTGAGAAAGGGACGAAGGGAGAGAGAACAGGTACTCATTACGGTGAGGAAGCCACCAGTGCAGGGCTCCCCATGAAACACTCCCCACCGCCTCCCCAGCCCCTGGCACCCACCATCCTACTTCCTGTCTCTGTGGCTCTGACGACTCTAGGGACCCCCTATGGGAGGAACCATTCAGTCTTTCGTAACTGGCTTCTTTCACTGGGTATGGTGTCCTCAAGGTTCACCCACGGTGTAGCACGTGTCAGAATTCCCTTTGTAAGGCTGAACCACACGCCACCGTGTGCGTGGGCCACGCTGTGTTCTTTTCATCTGTGGATGAACACTTGGGTTGCTTCCACCTCTGCTACCGTGAACCGTGCTGCTGTGAACACAGGTGCACAAGTATCTCCTGAGTCGCTGCTCTCGATTCTTTTGGATATATCCGCAGAATCAGAATCGCGGCATCGGATAGTCATTCTATTTCCAGTATTTTAAGGAACCATCATAGCGTTTTCCATGGCAGCTGCGCCATCTTTCATCCCCCCCAACGGCGCACAAGGGCTCCGATTTCTCCACATCCTCACCAACACTTGTGGTTTTCTTTTCTTCGGTAGTGGCCATCCTAGTGGGTGTGAGGGGCCACCTCCCGGTGGTTTGGACTGGCATGTCCCCAGTGATTAGTGATGCTGAGCATCTTTTCGTGTGCTTTTTGGCCATTTGTATATCTTCTTTGGGGTCGAAGCTTTTGCTTTTGGAATAGAATCAAGGTGTGAATCACCAGAGGCCACGTGGCACTGTCTGGAGACATTTTTGGTGGTGAGGACAGGAAGAGGGTGCTGGCATCAATTCAGTGAGTAGAGCAAAGTGTGCTGTAGAGCACAGCGGAGGAAAGTTCCCACAACTGAGAAAGATCTACTCCCAATTGTCAATAGTGTTGAGGTTGGCCGGGCATCGTGGCTCACGCCTGTAATCCCAGCACTCTGGGAGGCCGAGGCGGGAGGATCCCTTGAGGTCAGGAGTTCAAGACCAGCCTGAGCAAGAGCAAGACCCTGTCTCTTAAAAAAAAAAAAATAGCATTGAGGTTGAGAAAATCCCACTCTAAACTTTTCTCTCTGCACTTCAGGGAGCGCATATATATTTTAAAATTCTCTTTTCCAATTCCAGGTATACAACACCCTGTTTCTCACATTTCTGGTGATCATTGTTGTTTCCTTGAAAATGTCTTTTGTGTGGTAAGTTGACTTTTTACTCTTTCACTTTTTTTTTGGTTTTTTACTCTGAACGCAGACATTATGAGTAGAAGTAAGGATAGTAGAACCCCTGCGATTGGGATCATGATGGACGCGGGCAGTGTTATTTCTCCGGGGCTCAGAAGAAGGCCTGGGGGATGGAAGGGGTTTCAGAGGTATTTTCAGATCAACCGGAAGACACACCATGAATGTTCCCATCTGTCCGTGACCCTCGAACAACGCAGGGCTTAGGGGCACCAACCCCTGTACAGTAAAAAAGTCTGCATATAACTTTTGACTCCCCCAAAACTTAACTGCTTATAGCCTACTACAGCCTGGAAGCCTTACCAAGAGGACGCAGGTAGTTTAAACCCATGTTGCTCGAGGTCAATTGTATTGTCTTTTTTTGTTTAACTTGTTATTTCGAAATAATTATAGATTCTGCAGGAAGTTGCGAAAATACTAGAGTCCCATGTGCCCTCCACTGAGGTCCCCCCAGGAGCGGTATCTTCCATAACTGTAGTACAACAGCAAAACCAGGGAGCTGACATACATAGAATGTGCGTTTCCAGTTCCTCGTCATTTTATGCCGTAACCACAATTGCCATCAAGATACCGAACTATTCCATCTGCACGGAGCTGTTCCTCATGCTGTTCCTTCACAGCCACACCCAACTTCCCTGCCGCGACCCTGTCCCTAATCAGTCACTCTGTTCTCCATCTCTAGAATTTTTCTTTTCGTTTCTTTTTTTAGAGGCAGAGTCTTATTTTGTCGCCCACGCGTGAGGTCAGTGGCATGATCATAGCTCACCGCAACCTCAAAATCCTGGGCTCACGTGATCCTCCGGCCTCAGCCTGGAGTAGCTGGGACTACTGGTGCCACCACACCTGGCTCATTTGTCTATTGTTTGTAGAGATGGAGTCTCGCTATGCTGCTGAGGCTGGTCTCCAACTGTTGAGCTCAAGTGATCCTCCCAAAGGATGGGATTACAGGTGTGAGCCACCGCGCCTGGCTCCGCCTTTATAATTTTATATTTTCAAGAATGCTATATAGGCTGGGTGAGGCTGGGAGTTTGAGGCAAGCCTGGGCAACATAGCGAGACTCTGTGTCAGAAAGAAAGAAGAGGAGAGGAGAGGAGGAAGGAAGGAAAGAAAGGAAGAAAAGGAAGGAAGGAAAGAAAGGAAGAAAGAAAAGGAAGGAAAGAAAGGAAAAGAAAGAAAGAGAGAGAGAAAAGGAAGGAAGGAAAGAGAAAAGAAAAAAGAAAAAAAGGAAAGGAAAGAAAAGAAAGAAAATTAGCCAGGCATAGTAGTGCACACCTATGGTCCCAGCTACTCAGTAGGCTGAGAAAGGAGGATCGCTTGAGCCCAGGAGTTCGAGACCAGCCTGAGCAAGAGCGAGACCCTGTCTCTAAGAAAAAGAAAGAAAATACATATATATTGCCGAGTAATATTTTATGGTATGGATATAACATATTCTATGGTATGGATATACTACTGTTTGGTTATTTCCAGATTTGATTTGAGCTATAAGAAACAAAGCTCCTATACAAGTTTTTGTGTGGATGTATGTTTTCATTTCTCCGAGATAAATGCCCAGGAGTGTAATTACTGGCATCTTTCTCCTTTTAAAAAAATTATTTTGTGTGTGCGTGTGTTCCAGGATATGAGTAATACGATTTTCGCATATTTGCGTGGAGAGCCGGTACCTCAGGCCCATATATATAAGTCAAACACTGGGGGACGCAGATTTAAGGAGTATACCTATGTAGGACAGGTATGTGAAATTCGGTAAGAAAGTAAAAATAAAAATATATGTGTCATGTGATTGTAATAATTAGCTGTCCGTGGGTGGACAGAGGTTTTATCCGTTTAAGGTTTAGTTCAGGTAAAATCCTGACACCGTGTAAGGAATGCTTATTAAAAGCTGGTGCCCACTAAAGGGGGCACGTTAACTTATGACACATAGCCACACACACGCCTAAGTATTAGTACCCACAGGTGCCATCAGCATGGCCATTACACAGAGGAGAGAGCTGGAGCGGGTCACTTGTGTCCCCTAAAAATGGATGTCCACCCAGAACCTCAGAACGTAACTGTCTTAGTCCGCTTGTGCTGCTATAACAAAATACCTGAGACTGGGCAATTTATTAAGAACGGAAATTTGGCCAGGCGTGGTGGCTCACGCCCGTGATCCCAGCACTTTGGGAGGCCAAGGCGGGAGGATCGCTTGAGCCCAGGAGTTCGACACCAGCCTGAACAACATAGTGAGACCCTGTCTCTTAAAAAAAAAAAAAATACAAAAATTAGCCAGGCATGGTGGTGCACGCCTGTGGTCCCAGCTACTCAGGAGGCTGAGAAAGGAGGATCGCTTGAGCCCAGGAGTTTGAGGCTGCAGTGAGCTATGATTGTGCCACTGCACTCCAGCCTGGGTGACAGAGCAAGAGCCCATCTCTTTAAAAAAAAAAAAAAAAAAAAAAGGAAAGGCAGGTCAAGGTCAACTCAGGGAATACTTGGGCTCAGGGGTCCCAAAGCCAGGACGAGAGCAGCAACCACTGTTGTTGCTGACAATTATGTTTATTGTTGTCCTGGATTCCTATGTCTCAGTCACAGACTTCATCCGAGAAGAATTTTCCAGAAAACTGGCCCTTCCATCTTGTTAGCCAAAGCTGTATCACAGATCACCCGATCCCAGGCAGTGGCAAGGGGGCTGAGATCACCGAGTCTGATTCATTCCCTGAGATCAAGACCCTCCTGGGGATTCTGCCAACTGGGAAGGAGCTGGGGTGGCTGGCAGGGAGGTGACGGGCAGGCTACCGCGATGTCTAGACACCTGTGTTGGCTGGATATGACAGAAAAGCCCCCAGATGACAGGGGCTTAAATAAGATCTCTCTCTCTCTCTCCCTGTCTCTCTCTCTTTCCTTCTCTTTCTCACATATGTCATGTAAGAGAGCTGCTGTGGCAGTCTGTCTCACTGTCCCTAGGTGAGAAAAATCTCTTCTTTTCTAGAGCTAACATCTGCCCCGTCTTCACTGTTAACCCCACCCCTTGCCTCTGGCCTCGGTGCTCCTCTTTCTCCCTCTTCATGAAGTCCACCTTCTCGAGTGTCCCCTGGCCCCAATGGGAAGCGTGTGGGACTGGATGTCCCTGTCACCCGGCTTGGTCACCAGATGTCTAGCGGTCATTCCTGGCTCTCCCCAAGGCTCCCCCAACACGCAAACGATCACCAAGTCCCGTCGCTGCCTCTCGTTAATTTCACTGGGCGCAAGCAGGTTTCTGTGGCTGTGACCACAGTCCCCGCCGGCGAGACTGCACGAGGTTCCCACTCTTTGGGATGGGGCCTCGGGCCAATTTTCTTTTGGATTTTAAAGGACGAGGTGACATCCTGGGGTTGACGTCCAGGTAGGAGTTTATACTTCCAAAAGGTCGTGGTCACCAGCATCCACCAGCCCAACCCCCGGACACTCGGCCACCTACCCAGCAAGCGGGAATGAAAAATCCAGGCAGCAGTGAAAGATCCAGGCAGGCTTCTAGTAGCCTGGGTCATGGCACTTCCTCCAAACACCCAAAATAAATTCAGTCATTCAAATTTCTACCCTAACTGCTATATTTCCACAGAGGGGATTTTATTTAAAAAAAAAAAAAAAGGACTTTCCTTTATTTTAGCTTATCAGATAATCCGGAGTTAAATTTACAGTTAAGCACACATTTATAAGATTGGTTCATAGGCAGAATTTTCTATTTGTTTCATAGGCAGAATTATTCGGGTCTTTGGGTGGAATCTTCCATCTTTATAGCCTGACCCAGATCGGGCTGCTTATCATCGACAGACAGAAGGTAAGTGACTTTGCAATGGGATGAACTCCTTACATGACCTTTGCCCAAAAATAGGATTTTTTTTTAATTAAAAAAAAATTTTTTTTTTGAGGCAGAGTCTCACTTTGTTGCCCAGGCTGGTCTTGATCTCCTGGCCTCAAGGGATCCTCCTGCCTTGGCCTCCCAAAGTGTTGGGATTACAGCCACGTCACCCAGTCTCAAGGCTAGGTTTTTGTTAAAACTCACTCACTTAGCTTTTCATATCTAAAATCCATCTAGCTTTTCATTCACCTATCCATCTATGTATCCATCCACCTAACTACTCATTCATCAGCTCACCCATTTGTCCCTCCATCCACCCACCCATCCCATTCATCTGTCCATCAGTCATGCATTGAGCATCATTTATGTGGTGTCTACTAGTTGCTCAGCCCTGTGGATAAAATACAAATCTGGTGCATATATCACTGACGGCATACAAGATCAGTTTAAATCCCTCATGTCAAACATTTTTTAACAAATCTTTTAATGAGTATCCAAAAAATTAGTCCATAGAACCTGTGATTTCACAGATATCATTTAGGATAAGACGTAAGTTGAGAAGACGATTCAATCCATGTAAACTGAAGTTGAAGGAAAAAAATCTTAAGTCCAAAAAAGATTAGGTATAGTCAGTACCCAGGTAGTGCAAGAATTGTGAAACGGGGTGCCCAGCTCTGAAGTCCTGGGGAGACCCCCTATCAGGAAGTGCCCGTTCTGTTAAGAGAGACTTACACGACAAAACGGCAATTGCCGTACGATGGTCCCCGCGGCAGGCGCAAGTATAAAGGACGTTGCCAGGGGGCCGTGCTGGCCGCTGCGGGTGCTGCGCAGCGTCCCTGGCCTCCACCCACTCCATGCCAGGGGCACCCCCTCCTTGTGACAGCCACAAACGTCTCCAGACACCGCCTGGTCTCCCCTGGGAGGCAGGATGGCCCCACATTGAGAACCCTGGACCGAGTAACCAGGTTTGGAGAAAGTGCGAACGGTGAACCGCGTTGGTCCGCAGCGTGCTGTTGCCACGGAGGCACCGACTGGCGGGTTAGGCTGTCCTTTCCTTCCAGGGCACGTTCAAGTACTCACAACACCCCCTCAACCGGAGCCTAGGGCTGGCCTTTGACTACCACGAGACACTTGACGTCCTCGTCATCCCAGGCCACAGAGGCCTTCTGATCCTTTGGTCTGAGAAGAGCCTGTTGTATTCCCACAACTCAGGTGAGCGAAGAGGCCCAGGGCGGGGTGGCCTCCACCAGATGGGGAGGGGACAGCCTGGACACCCTTGACTATACCTTTAGTTTTTCTCTCTCGTGACTTGAGTGGGCCCCTCACTTTGCTGACCTCATCACATCTTCCCCACTTCCTGTGTTGCAGGATGTTTAGGGCCACGCAGACAGACAGGTCCTGAAATCCACCAGACTCCCAGGGCAGAGGGTCCAGATCTTTGGTCCAGGAACCTGAAGCCCCGTGGGATGGGTCAGGGCCCCCCACGTGAATGCCGAGCATCTAGGACGGAGGCTCTCAGCGTCCCAAATGAGTAAACCTCCCCTGGGGAAGAAAAATCAGGACATGGCCCCTCAGCTGGCTTTGGCAGGGTATCTGCCACTGTGATACCCTCACCTTGACGGAGGGTGTAAAGAGTGGAACAAAAAGCAGCTCTCTGGGCCGGGCGCGGCGGCTCACGCCTGGAATCCCAGCACTCTGGGAGGCCGAGGCGGGAGGATCACTTGAGCTCAGGAGTTGGAGATCAGCCTGAGCAAGAGCGAGACCCCATCGCTACTAAAAACAGGAAAATTAGCTGGGCGTGGTGGTGGCACTTGCCTATAGTCCCAGCTACTCGGGAGGCTGAGGCAGGAGGATCACTTGAGCCCAGGAGTTGGAGGTTGCAGTGAGCTACGATGATGCCATGGCACTCTACTCAGAGCAACAGAGCGAGACTCTGTCTCAAAAAATAAAATAAAATATAATTTTAAAAAGCAGCTCTCTAGGCAGGAGCATGGTGTCAGGGAGCCCTGGGCACAGGTGTGGCCAGAACAGCACCTGCCATCCCAGCCCACTCAGCCCCCAGTGCTAGGCGCCCTGAGCCAGCCGGGCCACCCAGCCATTTCCTAAGGGGCAGAACAGTCTGGGGACATGGTTGTTGCCCCTTACTGGAAGAAAAGGGCTCAGGGTTGGCCCACCCATTTTAGGGGTCCATTACAAAAAGAAAGCTTTGTTTCATTTCTTATATTTGTTACCCATATTAAAAGGCATCCTGGCCAGGCACAGGGGCTCATGCCTGTAGTCCCAGCACTCTGGGAGGCTGAGGTAGGAGGATCGCTTGAGGCCAGAAATTTGAGGCAGGAATGAGCTATGATGACACCACCGCACTCCAGCCTGGGCGACAGAGCGAGACCCTGTCTCAATAAATGAATAACTGAATAAATGAATGAATAAAGGCATTCAGTCACGGTCAAGCCCATGGTCAAGTCGACAAAAACAGCATCTCTCTCATACACTCAATGGCCATTTCCCAGAGCTATCTTCCCAAGGAAAGTAACAGGACTCGCATATTTCTTAAACCTGAGCATATTCTCGTCGCGTTTTACGAAATTGCATCTCTGCCCTGTATTTTCCTTGATTTTTTTTTTAACCTTTTAAGAGGGAACCGCTCAAGAGTTGCAAGAAAAACAAGGAACCAGTGGCAGGCGGGGTGGGCCGGGGTCTCGGCGGTTGGGACCCGCTGTCGTGAGATGTGGCCGTCACACGTCTGCCCTGTTGTCTCCTAGGTCAGCTCATCGACTCCATCCCAGTGAAGAGAGGAGAGCAGATCTTGTACCGTTCCCTCTTGCAAGCCAACGTCACCATCCACACCGTCGCTTTCAGTGCGTGCACAACCCGCCCCCGTAGCTTTCTAGAAATAGCCACACCTGGCTAATTAACCGCTGACCTACCAGATCCAACCCAGCCAAAATGCAAAAACAAAACCTGATTGTTACGTGTTTAAGAAGGGCCCAGGGCATAAAGCTCGTGCCTTTTAATGATGACATGGGTTATCCGTCTCCCTCCCTCCCTCCCTTCCTTCCTTACTTCCTCTCTTCCTCCCTCCCTCTGAGCAGTCATGAACTAGTTCTTGTTTGATTACAGAGGTAATCGAGTTACAATGAGTTTGAGAGGGTGTGGGCCCTGATCCAATACAACTAATGTCCTTATGAAAAAGGGAAATTTGATCGTGAACAACCCATGCTCATTGTCTTTCCTCGCTTACTAGAGGTTTCCAAATTGCTCTTTCAGGTGGCAGTGTCTTCCTCTGCCAAGCCCAGGTTAACCAGATCAGTCGCTTTCTTCCTTTGTGTTTTGTGACACCTTTATTGAGAAGTCAGATCTCTTTATACGTTCCAGATACAAGTCTCTTATCGGAAACATGATTTGCAAATATTTCCTCCCATCCTGTGGGTTTTCTGTCTCTCCTTACTTTTTTTTTTTAAACCGGTGAGTACACACCACTTCCCATCCTAGAATCTCTAACGGGTTCTTAATTTTCTAAAGAATAAAGTCCACACTGCAGAGGATGGCATTGAGGTCCCATCCTACAGGCCACCACTGTCATTTGGGACCCTTCTCTCCACCTAACCCAGTGGTCCTCAACCTGGGGACCCTCGGCGGTGTCTGAAGACATTTTTGGTTGTCACACTGCATGACTGGGGGACACTACTGGTATCAGACAGGTAGGGACAAGAGACAATGCTTGACATCTTACAACGTGAAGGACAGTCCCCGCCACAAAGAACCATCCAGCCCCAAGTGTCAATAGTGCCAAGATTGAGAAACCTTAAGTCAACATAGTTCTGCCCTGGGTCTGCAAACACACCTCTACTTTTCTACATCAGGTACGAGGTCCAGCTTAAGCCTCATTTTTCTGAAAACTTGTTGACTGTCTTTTTTAAAAGAATAAAAATATACATTGGCCGTTGCCACTCCCTTTCCTAAAATTTTGGTGGTGACCTGTATCTGTTGGAACTTTGTATCTGCAAAATGACGGAAACAATCTCAGTGTCTTCCAGTGGAGGACTCAGTAGTCAAATCACAGTTCACCTGAGGACCAGAACACCAATAAGCCAATCACAGTCACAGAATGAAAGGAAAGAAAAAAAAATTAAGTTATAAAGCACCTCGAAGAGTTTCCATAATATGATCTCACAAATATACAACTGCCAGAAATGACGCTTGTTAATATGTTAACAGTGAATATCTATGTCAGAGGTCAGCAAACCATGGCCCATGGGTCAAATCTGGCCCACCACTTGTTGTTATTTGAATAAAGTTTTATTGGAACACAGCCACATCCATTTGTTTAAACACTGTCTGCAGCTGCTTCCGCAGAGTTGAGTAGTTGAAACAGACATCACAAATTGGAAACTATGTACCGTCTAGTCCTTTATAAAACACATTTGCTGGCCCAATGTAGGGTCATTTTATTTAAAAACTTTAACTCTTTATACTTTTTCATATCATTTGACTTCCACATGAACTCCATGAGTATAACCAGAAAATAGCAGTATCGCTGTTTTGATTCAGGGGGAAAAATCAAGTGCACGAGAAATTGAGGACTAACTGAGGCAGAAAATAAACAGTGATATTTCTAAAGACCACAGGTATAAAATAAATCTTTTCAATACTATTAAAAACTTTAAACACATTCAATCTGGCAGAATTTATGTGCGCAAAAGACAATTCATGAATAGGGCAGCACTCAAAACTGAAAGAGGTTCAGAGAACTCCAGTCTGCAGTGCGGACAGTGAGCGTTCATTGGCTGAACATGGATGTAAGATACAGAAAGAGCTTAACTGGTCACATCTAGGAATTGACAGTATTTGGACACGGTCTGATCAGTCGGCTGCCTGTGATTGGCTGAGACTTGACTTCTATCACAAAAAATATACTTCTTAGTTAGGTTTTTGTTTGTTTCTATACTAAGTCAGGTTGTATAATAGTCTTTCACATAGGGACCCAACAGACACGGCCTTGGGCCGGTGGTTTCCTTCTTATTTAACATAACAAGACTTGGTATAAAAATATGAAGAATGATTTTTTTTTATTTGTCCATGGAAACGACCATCGGTTTGAGTTTTGTCTTGTTTTGTTTTTCCCAGATGAAAACGAACTGGCGGTTTTAACCAAGGAGGATCATTTGTATTACGGCAGTCTGAGGCTCCTGTCAAGCTCTATAATCAAAGTAGGTAAAAATCAAAGTGGGGTTATTTACCCGGTCGGTAAGGAATAATGGTCTCGTTCTCGAACTTCTGACGCTTTTTTTTCTGAAGGCTAGAAATCACGCTAGCTCGTAAAATAACAAAAACGACGTAGCTAAAACTTACAGAGCACTTAAAATACGGTAGATGCTCGTCTAAGTGCCTTCTATGTGTAATGTCATTTAACTTTGACCGTCGTCTTAGGAAGTAGATTGTTATATTAAGAGTCCCCATTTGACAGATGGGAGAACTGAGGCACAGAGACCTAAGTAAGTCATTTGTTTGGGGTCGTAAAGATATCGAGGGGTGACACTGGGGTTATCTCACGTTATCTTGGACACCACGCCCATCTAATTACATCTCCACCCTCACAATAACCCCGTGGAGGAGATAATAGCCACCTTTTACAAGTGAGAAAACCGAGGCTCCAGTTTCTTTCCCACTCAAGGCGACGTCACTCCTGAGCGGCTGACCCCGAACAGTCCCTCAGGTGTAGGGACTCCTACTTAGTGTTTTTCTTGCTAGATCTACAACTCCTAGAATTCCCAAAAGTTGCCTCACAGTGGACTAGGATAGATTATCTGGGTATGAGGCACAAACACAAGAATCACGTCCTTGGAAACCATCTATTTTCCAATTTGTGATGTCTGTTTCAACTACTCAATTCTGCAGAAGCAGCCACAGAGTAATTTATGAGTTATTTATGTTTAAATAAATGGATATGGCTGTGTTCCAATAAAACTTTATTTAAATATTATAAAAACAGGCGATGGGCCCGATTTGGCCCACAGGCCGTGGTTTGCTGGCCTCTGACATAGGTATTCACTGTTAACATATTAATGACCATCTCTTTGAATCCTTCACCCTGACATTCTGATGGCCAGTGTGTTTTCTGGAGAGAGGTTCCATAGCTCTTGTCTAACCCTCCATGACTTGTGAATAAGTAAAAAATTATTTCTTGGTGAAGAGGGGGCAA